GAGCGCACGTGCCCTACAGTGAAAATCTCTCAAAAAAAAAAAAAAAAAAAGGTATTACCTTAATTTAACAATTTTAAAGAATTTAGTCAATAATTAAATTTAAATACCTTTATCTGCTTGTACCCTACACATTATAAGTATATTTCACTAAATATTTTAAGTGTCTAAAATATCAATCTCTATAACATTTTGATCTCTCTTTAAATATTTTGCATATAAATGTTCGAATACTCCATGAATGAATTAATGTTATTTTAAAAGAGGATTTCCTTTTAAATATTACATATGCTTGGACACTAAAAACTACTCTAGAGAGCATAGAGATGGTTGTAAAGCAGTAATGCAGCTGGAACCACATGGGAAGGTCCTGGGATTGTATCTTAGGGCCTCTGTGTGTCTACGGGGTGAGTGTCCACACGTCTATAATCCAGATCAGCTAGGGGTAGATCACAGTGTGAAGATCCTATTCGAGTGCCTGTCTTTCTGTCTCTGTCTCTTTGTCTTTCTCTCATGGAAGAAAGAATCTTCAAAAATGTTACTTAAGCAACAAATACGAAAACATTAAATTAAAATCCTTTGTTGTAAATATTTATCATGTTTTTGTTCCTCAACATTTCACACGCATGGAAATAGAATTTAAAAACCACTTGTTGAATGAAATATATCTCATTTAAGGCCTAAAAAAAGCAAAAGAAAAATTCTAGAGACATCCCACTGCTCAATTATACTGTCAATTTAAAGAAACATTTAGCTTTATATCCTACTTATGTTTTACTCTTACAAATTTAATTTAAAAATTAATTATAGCCTATACATTGCTTTGCTTTTGTATATTCATTCTTTACTTGCCAAAATTATTTAAGGATTTGGATAACGTGAGCTTTAGTGAGTTGTAATTTTTAATTAGTAACTTTGCAATACGGGGCTTTCCCAAGCACGGTTCACAAGCATTGTTATCGGCTTATATACAGCATTAATTTAAACATTACTTACATTATAACTAATTGGGGCATAATACAATTGGACTTTATTCATCCTCTTCAAGTCCTAATTCTTGGTAGTATATATTTTTCATTTTTTCTAGGTTTACAATGTGCGTAAATGTTTACCGTTCACTTAAACAAGCCACAGTGATTATGCCTGGGTGGAAATGAATTATTTGTAGTGCTGATTGACTAAGAAACAGGAAATTAAAACGTGACCGGAGTAAATCCTTGAATGGAATCTTTTAGTATAAGTGCTCTAATGAACGGAAAGCATTTTTTAAACACCAGAAACCGTAAGTAAGCATGAAGTGAGTGTCCTACGCCGCTAAATAAGCTATCAGTTAAAAGCTAGGTTTTAAGCTACCAGTTAAAAACTGCAGAACCTAGAAGAAGCTGAGGTCTTGGGCAGGGAGGAAAAGAGTGCAGTGTCTTTGTAGCTTTGAATTTGGTATCTATTAACAAGCTTTACTGTTTCTTCCTAACCCCAAGAAAAAATAGCAGTTAGAGGGTTGTCTTGAAAGCCTAGATTTTAGGAGGAATGGCATCTTGGTCAGAGATTCTAGAAGCAGAACTAAAACAGGGATTCTTTGTCAAGAAAGTTAAGGCTGGAATGCTCTCAGGAGAAGGGCAGTGAGAGGAGCAGGCGGGGAAACCAGCTCTGGAAGGATGCAGACTCACGTGGAGACTGGCTGCACCCGAGCATGGTGGTGCTGGTGCTCTGGATCCCCAACTGCACACATGATGAACTCATCCTGGAGGTCTGGAAATTGGCCTTTAAGTCCCTAACACAGTCATTGACTGAAGGCTATAGGGAAGTAGGGGAAGGCAGTGTCATAATCTCACAGGAAAACAGCTCCTTCGAGGCCCAGGTCCACACTCCAGAGAAGGGGGCTGCTGAGGTGTCTCGTACCAACTGGTACAAGGGCATCTAGGTGAACACACATAGCAGCCACCACAGCAGTAACCCTGCGGGTAGCATCTATTTATGATTGCCACCTCTTTCATAGTGAACCCAACACAGAGGAAAGACAATTTGTTTGCCTCACAGGTAAGCTGACGGGATGACAGAGCAGAGATGAGGACAGCAGGAAGAGGAGATGATGAGGTGTAAAAATCATCACTTATGTGGGGGAATGGCAGGGCCTGGGTGTGAATGAACTTGTTACAGGAAGAGCAGAAAGCAGAAGAGAAGCGTCATAGGAACACCTTACTGCTGCACTGAGAGACAGGCAGGCAGTATGGGTGGGAGAATGCTTTGGGAAGGGTGGCAAAGCCAGTGCTGGGGCACAGGGCATCAGCTCCACCTGCACAAACACAGTGGGGAGGATCACGTGGGGAGGATCCACGTGCACCTGTCCATGAGGCCTGCCATCTGCACAGGAAAACAGTCCCCACTTAGCCTTACTTAACCTTTAAATTGTCTGCTCCATCTACCACTTTTCTTTCTGAAAAAGGCACATGAAAAGGATTTAGGCTTGGTAATATATAATGCTCTTCTACTTTTTCTAATCTGTTTAAAGGATTAGTAAGAAAAGTAAATCTCCTCAGACATAAATGCTTAAATTCTTTAGGATTCTTTGATGTGCTTTTTAATTAACTCTGAAATTCAATTGAAGGGTGTGCATGTGTGTATGTAAGTTGCAGGAATAAGCAATTGTTTGTATTTTACCTGTAACATATGAAACCCAGAATAAAAGCAATATTCCCAAAGGAAAGCCAGCTTGCTTCATAGAATAGGGTAATCCTGGAAAGATATAAAATATCCCATCCCTTATGTTAATAAACATAGACATTTCCTCCCAGTTCCTGTATATAATAGGTAAAATAAATTTAAATTTTTATAAACTATGCATATAAAAGGACAAAAATTAAATGTTAGCATATTAACACATTTCATAATAAAATGTTATTACGTTAGGGACATGTCAAGAAAGTAAGTTCATGACATGATAGAATAAGAATTAGGAAGCAACAAGTTTTTGTTCACAAACAGTGTTTGCTCTGGTTAAAGGGTGACAGAAGCCCTAGAGTATATGGAGAATTCTGATCCCAAACTCTTCTAATGTACTCACAAAGAAAGTAGAGAGGAAAAAAGGGCCCCGGGGGATCAAAAGATGTAGAGAGGGACCAGCAGTTAGCATAATGGCTATGTCACTGAACTCCCATGTAGTCGACTGCGGTTTGAGTCCCGGACCTGGTGGCTTAAACTCACGCCAGGTGCGTGTGCGTGCATGCCCAAGATCCCCAGAAGAGAAAGGAGGAGAAGGGATTGTGGCATGGCCATTGCCCTGGGGGATGATTTCTTGCTTTCTGTCTCTCTGTCTCTCTCTGTCTTTCTGGCAAGCGCACGCGCCCTATAGCAAAAACCTGTCCAAAAAAAAAAAAATACATATGTAAAGAGAGACTGACTTGAAGCAAAATGGGGCAACTAAGTAGGGGGAAAGGGTGGAAATGAGAAAGCAAAAGAATTTTTAAAGTTTTTTTTTTTTTTTTTTTCTTTTTTTGCCAAGTGGGGGCATACACTTGCTGGAGAGAGACAGAGAAAGTGAGAGGGAAATTGAGAAATCCTCTCCCCCAACCCCACAGGCCATGCCACAGTTCCTTCTACTTTCTCCTCCAGGGATTTTGGGCAGGCTTTCTTTTTATTATTATTTTTTAAAAATTTGCTATAGGGCACATGTCTCACCAGAGACAGAAGGAGAGAGAGAAGGAAAGTGAGAAAGCAGGCCTCCAGGTCCAAGATTCAAACAACCGTTGACCATGTGGAAGTCCAGTGCCTTAGCCACTTCACCACCTGCTTTCCGCAGCAGAAGAACTTTTAATCAGCTGAAGGGGTATTTAAAATTATGATTTTGGGGGAACTGGACAATTTAAGATTATGGATTATAAAATATTTAAAATTAACATGATTGAAATATTCTCATCTAGACTTTAATCCTGTGAGGTTTCCCTTAAAGGGAAAAAAAATGCTGCTGAGCATAATTAAGTGGAACTTTTAATGGTGCTGACATGGATTAGCTTAAAGTTGTTCACATCAGGAATTAGTTCTGGGATTCTGCCAAATGAGCTGACCACACTTCCATGGCACATGGAGGCAGGAAAGTCTGCCCCAGCTTGCTTCTGCTTCACCTCGAGTACCTCCATTTTATGTATCATTTTTAAAAAGTTTATATATGGAAAATGTAAGATCATGAAGCACAGCAAGTTGTGAGAAAAGTAACTCTATCAAGCTAAAGGTCCAGGGCCAGCATATGGAGTGGTGGTTAAAGCACTGGACACTCCTACATGGCCGACCACAGTTTGAATCCTGGACCTGGTGGTTTGCTTTCTCACTTTCCTTCTCTCTCTGTGTCTCTCTCTCTGGTCAAATTAAAATAAATGACTGGAAAAGTAAAACAAAAATAAACAATTCTTTTTTGAAAAAGGTAAAGGTCCAGTTTTCAGAAGACAATAACTGAGAATAAGATGTCAAAACCATAGAAAAAGTTGTATTTCCAATAAGCATTGCAATTTGCAGGGTTTTGTTTTGTCCTCACCTTTTCTGAAATGAGATGCTTTCAAATAATTAACAAGAATATTAAACAGTGAAAAATTACTGCTTTTATTATTATAATACAATGCACTTTTAATTTTTCTTTGCAGAATTTCCCCTTTCTAATACATTGGGAAAAAATGAATTGTTCATTTCTCTTTTTTGTATTTGGCTCCTTTGTCTAAAAAGAAACCATTTGCTTAACTTTTCAATTAACAAATCAATTTTGTTGGCTAAATGTGATATTTAAAATTAATATCGTAATAAATTTGTACTTCAAATTTTAACACAGTATAGATAAGTAGGGAAATACTGCATTGACTTCATTTTTCAGAAGATTTTTTTTTTCACTTTTTACCTGCACTATTTATAAATATGTAGGGGTTTAACTCTTCTAAAAGGTCATAGGAAAGTGACTCAAGTAATGGTGGATACTTTGGGAAAAGGAAAAAGGTAAATTATTTAACACTATCAATGGACCCTGCAGTCCATGAAAAAAGTCCCAGCAGCTCCACCTTAATTTACTGCACAAGGCAGATGCTCCCAGCTGTGGAAAGGGTGTGAAGGGCATCCCCAGGTTCAGTAAAAGAAAGCAATGCAGATTGTTACACTGGAAAAAAAGGAAGGCTGTTAGGGAAGAAAGTTACCAATTTTCTCCTTTAAAAATAGTCAATGAACACTAGCAGCTTACTCAGAGTCATTTTACTTACGCTTGGATAATCAGAATAGAATGGTGGTTACAGAGGGAACAGGGTTAGAAGAAATGGGGAGATGAAGGTGAAGGAGTAAAAATCTCAGTGTGACAGAAGAACGTATATGCACATTGCCCAGCAAGGTGAGTGAAGTTTAGAGTAGAGCACATTTCAAAACTGCTAAGACAGTCAACTTCGAATGACCTCACTACAAAACACATTAAGGTTTTGAAATCATGGATATGCTAGTTAGCTTGATTTAATGATTTCACAGTGTATTCATAACTAGAACATGACTTGGTACGCTGTAATTGTATACAATTATAAATTGTTAATGTACATTTTAAAAAAAAAAAAAGAGCACTTACCTATTATGCCGGATCCTATAATGGAGTTGACAACATTAAAAACGGCAGCAGACTGACAAGTTTTCTCTTTATGCTCATGTTCAGAAACGAGGGTTTCTCTGTCATCTAGATCTCTCTATTTTAATAGATAAAATGATTAAACAAATATTAGCTAGCTCAAAAAATGAGAAAATATCACATAAATATGCAATGCAGGAGACTAACAATATTAGTAGTAAGATCAACAGCCATAGTAAAATAATGATGAAAATGATAATAAAAATAACAATAAGAGCCAATAATTCAAGTTTTTAAAGTCAACTCCACCCTAAAATATACTGATTACAAACCGATGCATGGTACGCAGAGTACAGAATATGTTAGGGAGTCAGGAATGTGAGTTTTGTGATAGTAAAGAGGTTAAAATGGAAAGTGCCTGCCAAGGGGAAAAAAAAAAAAGCCAGATAAAGGCAAAACATGTTCTCCCTGAGAACTAGCGCTAAGCTAAGACCCTAGGTGAAGGTAGGTGAGGTCTTGCAAGGCTAATGAAACTGGGTGAGGATGGGTACAGGATTGAGAGCCCGCCCTAGCTGCTACTTTTACCTGCGGTGGGATGACGGACTGCTGCCCCTGGTAGCCCATGGCTGCGCGGTGGTCCTGAGCAGGTGGAAAGCACTGGGGCTGGGCGCTCGGCTCTGGCGTGGCCAGCCTCCTCCGCCACCTTGCACACATCTAAGGTCTTCGCCGCCTAAGAGCAGGAACCAGCGGGTTCCGCCAGCGTCCCTGGAGCCCCTGCCGGGGTCGCCCAAGCTTTGGCGGGTCCTCTCTAGGCTGTGGCAGCCCGAGGCCGTTTCCAACCGGAATTTGAGATGCTGCAGGATGTTTCTGACCTGGACAGCCTTTTCTCCCTGGACCTGGTCGCCCCCTCCCCGGACCTGGTCGCCCTCTCCCCGCCCCGCCTCCCTCAGGGAACACGGAGGACTGCCGTTCCCAATGCTGCACAGTACAACCTGTTCCGTCCGCGCTGCACAGCCCAGATTGCTCGCGGAGTTAGGACGGCCTCGTTTCCGTCCTTTCGTAAGTTAGCTGCATTTTCGTTCACTCTGATCCAGTGGAGACCGCAGTAGCACCCCTGCTTTAACAGAGTATCTATTCTAACAACGCCTTCTCTCCCCACCTCCTAGGGCAGAGATAACAGGTGAAAATGTAGGACTTTTATTTTAAGAAGACTTGCAAAAAAAAAAAAAATCACATAAAATTAAAAAGCAGAATCAAAACCAAACCACCAAAACTTACCCAGGGTTGTAACCAACCTGACTACTTTAGCATGCTGAGAACAAATACTTTCTGTTCCTTTTCAGAAAAGAAACCAGAGGCAAAAGATGGATTATTATTGGATTCAGGTAATGAGCCTTAAAAGGGGAGAAAGAGTACAAGAAAATGGGAAAGGGGAGGTACTTAGAGTGTCAGAGCTAGAAAGAATCATAAATGATCATCTATTCGCTCCTTTCATAGCATAGATGTTGAAACTGAGGTCCGGAGAGTATTAATCAAAAGGAGATAGAAGACAAGGAGAAGTTTCAGGGAAAATAAAAGTAGCAATGTAACACTAAAATGTATTAAATACTTGATTAAATAGGTTCTCTTTATCCATAGGCATTGACTGAAAATTATGAAAAAAAATTTTAATGGAAAGTCTAAGAATTATAAAATAAACTCCATATGCTCTCCACCATTGAACTAACAAGTATTAATATCCTGCTAAGCTTTCTTCAAATTGTAAACATAAACATTTCATGTCACAGTATAGCCCCCCTTTCCCTTTTCTATACTAGACCTTCACATTCGTACTTACAGTCATCCCATTCATTTAGTCTTTATCTTTTCTATCTGCTTTATTCATTTGTAGCCATAAATGATACATAACATGGACTTGTATGGTTTCAAAATTTACATAGATGGTTCCATCCCATGTTACACATATTACTTTCTCATTGTTATTTTTGTGTGTTTATTCAATATACTATTTTCAAGATGTAAGGCTGTAGATATATGTAGTTAGGGTTTATTCATGTCATCTACCCTATAGTTCAGTTAGCCACTCTCCTACTGAAAGCTATTAAAGTTCTTTCTAATTTTACACTCTTTGGGGGCATATAAATAAGGTTCTCTAGAGGCAGAATTGTTAGGTAGTTGGACACGCACATTTTCAACCTCACTAAATATTTACAAATTGCTGTGTACAGGTCAATAGTGCCAATTACACTTCTACCAGCAGTAGCAGAATTCTTGGTTTTCTGCATTGTCAAAACAAAGATGTAGCTTCTTCTTTAAAGTTTGTTATTCTGGTGGGTTTTAAAATGATACATATTACTATATAAATTTGTATTATCCTTATTTATATTGAGGTAAAGGATATTTTTATGTATTAAATGTTTGTGCTATCTTTGTGAATTTCATTTTGGATCCCTTGTTCATTTGATTTTGGTTGTTAGCCTTTTTCTTATTAATTTGTAAGCGTTGTTTATAAATTGGATTGTCAGGAAAGTCATGACTCATTTTTGCATTAAAAAATACAAAACTACATCAGGACTTTCCCAACGACCGAATATTTGAGTTACCAACTCTGTGTCAGTTATATATTTTATACATATTTTATCCCAGCTTTTCTCTCCCTTTATATCTCTCTCTTTTTGTTTGTTTTTTTAATGCCAGAGGATGAGCATGTGCACATGAGAGAGAGAGAGAGGGAGAAGGAAAGCACCCCTCAATGGGGCCTGGTCATGCTGCAATTCTTTCCCCTCCATCAGGATCCTTGTTAGATGGGCACACTGGTGTGAAGCCCATGAGACCAGGATTTGAACCGTGAAGTTGTGTACCATTTGCCTTTCTCTGTAGAGCACTTTACCACTGTGCCACAGAGCTGGTCCTCTCTTTTTAAATGTCTGTGTATTCGTTCCTACCGTGCAAAGTTTACAAATTTCAGATACTCAAAATTAGTCATCTAAATCCTGAAACAAGTGGATTGTTCACGGTGAGGTCAGAAGGAAATATTGGTTAAACCACTGTTACTTGGGGTTTTCTGTTATTTATGGACAAAGTTAAATCTTATTAATACACTTCCTCTGGCTGTATTAATGATTCTATAATTCTATTATATAACTCTAATTCTAATAGTCAAGTCTGATTCATCCAATCTGGATATATCTGCCTAAAGAGGTTTACTAACTGAATTATTTATGGGGGTAATAGGAGGGTTCCTTGTACTTCATTAAATTCTCTTTTAGCCTCTAGGACTGAGGAAGACCTGGCTCAATTACATTTACGAAATGCCACTAGAATATTAAAAAATAAATTTTACAAAAGAGTGACTCAAAATTGTGGCAACTTAAAAAGCACTTTTATTTCACAAATTGATGCTTTCCTTTGAACTCCCAAATACAGTGCAATATTATTCTGATACTTCTTGACTGAAAGGATTTGTTAGGGGGCCAGCAGGCGGCTTAGTGATTGGGTCATTGGACTCCCATGTGGCCGACTGCGGTTTGGGTACCAGACCTAGTGGCTTGAAATTCACACTGGACACCTGTGCAGTGTACTCAAAATCTTGAGAGGAAAATAGAGGAGAAGGGATTGTGGCATGGCCATCCACAGGGGTAATTTCTTGCTTTCTGTCTCGCTGGTGAGCACACACATTTCTATGGTAGAAATCTTTAAAAAAAAAAAGATATGCTAAAACATAATACATAGAAATGGGGTGGTATTATAATGGTACATATGTTTTAGTAGATTATGAGTGATGTATTTTAATTTTAGTATATCTATGTTGCTGTAGGTATAACCTCTTTTAGAGCTAAGATCTAAATCTCAGGCTCCTCATTCATTGAAGACTCAAGTTAAATGGCCCTTCTCAATCACTTGTGACAGACACTGGATAGACTAGAAACGTTCAGTAGAAATACATTTAAAAAGATGCTAAAGACACTCAAAAGAGTAACAGTTGAAGGTATAAATTGTGTACTCACATTGCAATACACCTACTATTAAAAGAGGAAAGAATGTTTGGGACATTGATCAACCGAGCACAGTCATCTATCTGGAAGCTCATAGGCATTACAAGCTAGCAACAAAGATTTTATGTATGGCATTCTAGAGGTTCTGAGAACAGATACATCTAAATTTTGTAGCCAATTCTATATTTTGTAGCCAACCATTTTAAAGAATGATCAACTTGAGGCCTATCCACAATAACACAGCTGTAATGCAATTCTCTGCTTTACTGGAAGTCATGTAGAAGATCAGAGTTTGATTCCCAGGTCAGCCTGTACATGACAACCATGTCTGCTGGTGATCCTGGTTCGCTGAAAGACTTGGGAGAGGGAGAATTAAGAGCATGAAACTCAGTCTAAGGAGTTTGTTCTCCCCCCCACCCCCACTATCTCTTCCTTATAAAATAAATAAAATTTTAAAAAGTAACTAACTTGAATAAGTGATGTACCAAATGACTAAAACATATGTATTTGCTAGAGCATTTAGAGGAAGAAGTAATTATAAGAAGCTGGGTAGTCAGGGATATTTGATGAAAGACTAGAAAGGCAAAATTTACCCTAGCAAAGATAAAATTTAACTTACAAACATATCATTCTAATCTTGGCTCTAAAAGAACTAACTACATAGGTGCAGGGTAGGTTCAGGCAGCTTATCTGTAACTCATTTCAAAAAGTTAGTGCTTTCAGGACCAGTAGTTGGCGTAATGGCTATGTCACTGGACTCCCATGTAGTCGACTGCGGTTCAAGTCCCAGGGCCAGTGATTCACACACGTGTGTGTGTGTGTCCAATATCCCGAGAGGAGAATGGAGGAGAAGGAATTGCAGCGTGGCCATCGCCCCTGGGAGGTGATTTCTCACTTTCTATCTCTCTGTCTCTGTCTTTCTGTCGAGCGCACGTGCCCTATAGCAAAAACCTCTCCAAAAAAAAAAAAAAAAAGAAAGAAAAAGAAAAAAGCTGTAAAAAAAAAAGTTAGTGCTTTCAATGAACAAGAAGTTTAAAGTCATTCCACAATGTAGTGGGGCTGAGAAAAAAGGTCTAATGTAATCTTGGGCAAAAGTACTTGGAGTAAATTACATAGGAGAAAAGCAAGGTAATGATCCAGGCCATTTTCATAGGTCATTCCACACACAAACTATTGTTTTCCGCTCTGGAAACTACAATTTGATAAACATAAGCTGGCACTTTCAAAGGAGAGGAATTAGAATAATGAAAGGATACTGTGTCTCAATGCTTAAAGTGGCTAGAGAATATAAATTTCAGAGGATTCAGGGTTTACTCAACATAAGGAATAGCTTCATAGATGTACTGGAATAACTTGAGTAGTAAATTTCTAGTGGAAATACGCAAATCTAGTAAGGACTCTGACTAGGCAAGGAAGTTGTATTATTAAGTGTTGTAGAGGTGATGAAGACTAGGAAGATGCCAGGTTCTCCTCTGCTAGCAAGTAGCAGAAACTTATGAGTCTCCTTTAGAAAGGGGAAGGTGAGAGAAGAATGTATGTAGTGGATCCAGGACTAGAAAATTTGTCGAGGTTCCAGGTAGCCCTGGATGTTTTCTTGATTCTCTGTCATGTCCTGCATGGTATTTTCATGGCTCTTGGCTTCATTCTGTAGGTCTACTCCATTAATCTCTTACAACTGACATTCAGCTCTTCTAGGGAAATTCTGGAGGAAGTGGGTCTGTCTGTCAGCTAAATACCTTCACT